CCCGCTTTCCGAAAAGCTTACATCATTCGTCGTTGGGAGGAGGGATGGGGATCAGGGCGTTCCGGTAGGATTCCGGCGTTTCCTAGGTCCCTGGTTTTTGGAAGGAAGCAGGGACCCTAGCTTTTTCATGATGATGATGATGGGAGGGCTCAAGTTTGGTCTTTGGGGCAAGTTTTGGTTCTTTTATTTTAGGTCACTACTGCAAAGGGCAAGGCTAGCCGGCTCAGGTGCACAACCTCCCCGCCTTCATTTCAGCCAGTTCCCCTGTAATCACTTGATCTTAGTTTCTCCGCCTTCTCCTCCAACCCCCTCCCAGCTAGAGACACATGGTTTCCACATGGAGACAAACTTCTTTCCTCTGACTGGACTTGACCTAGCTGCGTCGCTTAGCCAATCGGCAGCGGCAGCTTCGTATGACGTCACGCGTTGCTGAGGCCAGAGACAGGGGGTGGGGCCAGGAGGCAAGCCAGGAAATCTCTGGGAGTTGTAGTGCGGCCAGCTGGTCCAATCCCTTCTTAAAGTGACCCTCTTCTCCCCAGAGATGGCTGTAGAGCCTCAATTCGATTCTCCATTTCAGGTTCTGTAAGAACTTCCTGAAATGCCCCGATAGACCCTGGTCATGAGTTCACACGTTCCGTTTTTACTGTTGTTTGCAAAGTACTTATTTGCCAGGAGCTTGCCTTATTTTCCATTCTCACCGGAACTACTTCTCATTGCCTCGTTGAGGCTTCCAGGCTAGGAGTGCTCACCAAGTTGTGGCCACCGTGCTGAATTATTCCCAGTAGATATGGTGAGTTTTCTTGGGGCGAGGGGATCCAAAGTAAGTCACCCAGTATTGACTGCTCTGTGCAAGGCAAGGGTTCCCTAGGCAGGTACATTCCCCCGAAGTTCCAACCGATGTGAATCCTTAAGAATCTCACAGGCCTCCAGAAACATTAATCACGGAGACTGTGGCTCTGTTACCACACATGCAGCACTTATATATAAATAACCTCTGGCATCATCACCTAAATCCATGTGGGGTCCAGTGGAGGGGTGGCAATTTAGGATGGACTGATAAACAAATATTTGCTTCCTGCTTTGGAAAAGGTTAAAACTGAGAGAGAAAGATTCACAAAGGGGTGCTGTGTGCATAAAAACTGTTCCGTACGCAAGTGGAAACAAGGAGAGGTCTACTCAGTAGAGGACAGAAATGAGCTTCTCGGTGCCTGGGGAAGGTGACTTCGGGACAATGCTTAGGATAGAGAAGAATGATTAAGTGGGAGTAGAAGCCGTGGTCTGGGATGATTATCTGGGTCTGAGGGTGAGGTCCTTTTCTGGGGGCATGAACAGGCCAAGGAGCAGCCTGTTCCTCCTAATGGAGGAAGCTACTACTGTGTGGTATCATTTGGCCCCACCCTGCCTTCCTGACTTAATCTCCTCTGCTCCTGTCCAGCAGGTCTACCAGCAAGCATGGTTAATTGAGACATTCCTGGTGCCTCTGTGTGCGACTCAGACTCTTCCCTCTGTCTAGTATGCCCTCATTCTCTTACTCCCTTGGGGTTAGGTGCATCTTACCTACTTTTCAAGACCTAGGTCAGTTCCCACCTCCTCCAGGAAGCCTACCCTGGCTATTTCTTAAGTCTGGGCAGTTGAGACAGTGAAAGGTTTACAGCAAGCATGTCAAACTCGAGGCCCGCGGGTTGCATGCCTTGTTTATTTGGCCTGTGTTAGCCTTTGAGCTTGACATGCTTGCTTTACCGTCATCAGAGCAGGGATCTAATTCCTTCTTTGCTGCTTATTGGCTGTGTGAATCTCTCTGAGGTTCCATTTCCTTTTTGTAAAATGGGAAGAACAGTAGCACCAGCCTTATGTCATTGCTGAACCACTAAATGAGTCACTCCCTTTAAACATCTAAAGTATCTGGAATAC